GCCAAGAAAAGCCCCGGGCAGACGACGACCCTGGCACTGCCAGCCCTGTCTGCCCTGGTCATCGCAGCGTCACCCGCGCAGGGTCGCCGTGGTGGAGGGACAGACTGCCGTCCACGGCCGGGGCGGGACTTCCGGTGGGGCGCGGGCGCGGCGTCGCAGCTGCGGGTGGCTGGGTGGCGGGGGCTGGCGGCGCGGCACGTCGTGTGCGCCCTGTCGGGCGGGGTGGACAGCGCGGTGGCCGCGCTGCTGCTGAAGCGGAGAGGGGAGGGCGCTGCTGCTGAAGCGGAGAGGTGAGGCGGCCGTCCCTGCGCGTTCTTGGACAGGCCGCGGTCGCTAGAGGGCTTGGGGGACCCTAGACCCTCGCCCTCACCCTCCCCACGCCGGCGCCGGAACTCGGAATGGGCCGTGAACCTCCCGACTTTCGGGCCGTGGGAGAAAGGGATCGCCCTGCGGCCCGGCGACCCAGAGACCTTGGCGTCCACACTCCCGCCTGGGGGGCCACGACCGTGGTCAGGGCAGCCGGGGCCGCCGGCCTGAGGCCTGAGCTCAGCGTCCACGGCCTCCCGACCCAGGAGACTGCTAAACACGGAGCGGCGTGTCCTATCAAGTCACTCCTGTGTGCTCGGTCCAGTGGAGGACAGGCTTCTCCAGAGCGCGGCCTTTCTTCAGGGCCTCTGAGCCGAGCGCCCTGGGTACCCCGGATCCTTAGGATCTGCGATGAGATTAATGGCCTGCTAGGTTCTCCACCTGGGTGCAGAGGGCCTTGCCAGGCCGAAGGCACAGAGCCGCGTTGTGGAGCACCTCCCTGAGCCACCTCTGGTCTCCAGGTGCTTGCAAGGGCCCTGCCTTGGCAAGTTAACAAAGCCCTGCCCCTCTGTAAGTGGGGGTGACTACTCTGCAAGGTGACTGGACCGTTCAGTGACTTGGAGCAGATTGAAGGATTCACCCCAGTGCCCAGCACAAGGTTATTTTAGGTCATAACCATGACCTTTGTGACCCTCAAAGAGAAGGATAGGGAAAATCTGCCTATGCAATTGCAAGAGAGGATCGGAGACAGCAGGCTGGAGCTGGGGCTGGGGCTGGGGCTGTTTGAGCCAGACTTGAAGGAAGAGTGGGGTTTCACCAAGGGAAGGATCGGATCTGACAGGAGAAATGAGGAGGGATCCCTTCTGGCCAAGGCAGCAGCACATGCTGAAGGGCAGAAGTGCTGGGTCTGGCCAGAGGGAGGTGGGAAGTCAGGAGGGTGGAGAAGGTTGAGCCCCGCTAGAGATGATGTTACTATACCAGGGATTCGAGGCTGTTGGGTCTACAGCCCAGACCCTGGAAGGTTTCTGCAGAGGGCAGGACTAGGAGTCTGGGGAGATGCCGAAGACTGGCTTCGAGGAACAGATGGGTCGATTTACTTCAGGAAGACGAACTCCCTCCAGATGGTGCAGCTAACTGCTCCAGCCTTGGTTCCCGCGTGGACGGAGCAGATGACTGTAGGAGAGACGGCCGGGCTTTCACTGGGCACTGAGGGCTTCTGAGTCTGGGTGGAGGAGCACGTCCTGGCACGTGCCACTGAAAGCCAAGGGTCCGTCCTAGAGAGGCTGAGCCTCTGCCCGTGAGAGGGTTTCCATCTCTTCGTGAGAAAAATGTTTGTGCAGATGAGGCTACAGGAACGTGGCTTTTCAAAGCTCATGTGTAGAATTGTGTGTTCTCCAAGCTTTTTAAAAAAAGCTCCAGTGAAGTGCTGGGCATGTACTTTGACACGGTGTGCCCTGGAGCAGACCCCGCGTTAGAGCAGGGACAGACAGAGGAGAAGGCCCGGAGCCCATTGTGGTGAGCCCTGCAGAAGCACAGGAGAGAGGGCTTGATTGCCTGCTGGGCTGGGGTGTCTCAGGAGTGTAGGTTTTCATCTTGGCAAAGCTCTGCCATCAAATCGCTCCTCGGGGTGCTGCCTGAGGTCGTCTTTAAAGTCAAATGCTCATCTTCATTACATTTCGCCTTCCCAAAAGAAGCAGTTTTCTCAGCATGGACACCTGCATGGTTGCTTAGATGGTGTGAGGCTAAAGTCGGCCTTTCCAGTATTTGATTGGGTTCT